AAAATAGAAATATAAAAACAAGTAAGATTTTTTTACAAAAAAAATTGTTTCTTCCATCCCGGGATTTGAATCCAGGCCTTTTGGGTGAAAACCACAAATCCTAACCACTAGACCATATGGAAGTACCTATTCCTCAACTACTTTCTTTTGCGTTTGATGCATAAATTTATTTTGTAGATTTTCAATTTGGAAATCATTCTTAAAAAATTAAGTCAGTCATTATAACTTTTTATGACGTGAGAAATATTAATTTTTATTATATAGTCATATTTAATTCAAACGGTCTATGTGATGTTAATAATTAGTAACAAATAGCTTTGTTGTGAAATAAGGAACATATTTGAAGTTCGTCATAACTAATGCTATAGATTCTCTTGTTAATAATCTTAACTAACTAACCTAAATCCAAAAAATATTTTTCTCAAATTTGTTGGGATTGTGTCCTTTAGTAAAGTATTTATTTGTCATGTGAAAGTTACTATTGTTAATTAACTATCGTCCACTTTTTAATAGCAAATTATTACTGTAAAAAAAGGTTTAGATTTAAAAACAAAAGCTTAGTGGGAAAAGTTCTAAATTTGAATGAAAATTTAAGTATCCAAAACTATCCACATTTTTGAATTAGCATCAATATTAAAACAGAAAAACAATGTGAACTAATATTTATTTGTCATGCTACTCAAACAAAGTGCCCCATGGGTGTTTTAAAGCTTTTACGTTGATATTTAGTCTTACATGCTAAACCAACTGTACTAATCATGTTTTAATTAGTGATTTACAAAATATTCGTGAAGAATTTATGAACTTCACTTAAAAAATATTACGGACTAACATTTAAAATCAGATTTTGGCAAGACAGTATTAAATAATCCATCTTGTTGCTGCTGAAAATCTTTAATATTTCCAGGATAATTGCGAAAATTGAATGATATTAAATTTTTTTGTAAAATAACTGCATTCAGAAAAGAGTATAAAAAATAACCATATTTTTATATATTTACAGAAAACGAATAGGAAACGTTTAACAAAATAAACAGTATAAAAAAAGAAGATGTTTTCCACTAAATTATCTAACACAGACAATGTTCATCACATAAATTAACTTTATGTTTTCAATGAAATAACAGCATTAGAAATATTTTTTAAATAGTTTATTTTTATTTCATTAACGATAATGGATACCAAACGTTTATTAAAATAAACAGACAAAACAAATTGATGTTGTCGTGTAATTAATCTAATAGAGATAATATTCAAATCATACATATTTTGTGGGCTTCATATCCCATTGTATTAGTTTGATGTTGAAAATTTAATCCATAACATTGTCTTGCTTAGCATTTATTATATTTTTGCATTATTAATCGAAATTGTTACAAATTCCTTATTATATATAAATGAGTGCAATTATTTTCATCAATACTGTTTTTCAAAATATATGGGGCATTTTATATTTAAATAAAAAAAACTGCGTTGACTTTATCGACGAAATAGATGTAGTTACTTCATACGTATCATATGTTAAACTGTAGGATGTTAATACCTGACCTTTAAAAATTATCTCATTTTATACTTATGAAATGTATCTCACTTCCATTATCAAAATATTAGAATAAATCCTTTTCTGTTCGGTAAGGTATATTTATTTTATTTTTCAAAACCGAAAAATTTAATCTTTTTTATATTAAAAAGGAAATCTAGTCACTCTAAAAGTATTATAATAACATAAATAAAGTTAAATAATTTGTTAATTAATGTAGATATTTAACTATAAAATATAAAATTAAACGGATTGATTTTTGTTGACAACATTTACTTCTATTTTTTTTATAAACAATTATATTAAAGTAAAAAGGTAAACACCAACAATTATCACAAACAGAATCTTTTGCTTTGTTTCCACACCGGGAATTGAACCCGGCCTTGTGGTTGAGAACCACCAATCCTAACCACTAGACCATATGGAAGTGTGCATAAAAATGACTTATCTTTAAAGTTCATGATATAACAATTGATTGAAGAGTTTGAATTATGAATGATTGTTTCAGACACCAAAATTTCTTAATATTTGAGAAATAATAAATCTTGTTACACAAATAAGGGGCTTATTTGCTATTATAGTTAATTTAATGATGAAGTCTTAATGAGATACAATTTTCATTGCTTACAACTTGTTATATATTTGCATTGTTAAGAGAAAATAAGAGTAATGTGTGTATAAATATTTAATATAATTATAATTTCTGTCATAAAATATACTTTTCAAAAACAGAAGGAATTTCATATTTCAATGAGAAACTGTGTTGATTTCATTAAAATTTTTTATTCAACTACTTTTTAGTATCATTTATCAGCCTTAGCGATTTTAAGATAAAAATTTGATATTGAGATAAAAAACTTAAAATACTTTGTTGAAAATCGTATCAATGCAAATGTAAAAATACAACCTAAATGTATTATCTTTTGTTAGGCAATTTTTTTATTTTGATTAATTGAAATTTATTAAATGGAAAGAAAAATACCAGTAAGAGTTTTTTACAAAAAAATTTGTTTATTCCATACCGGGAATTGAACCCAGGCCTTGTGGGTGAAAACCACAAATCCTAACCACTAGACCATATGGAAGTAGGCATTTGCCAATTGTGCTAGTAAAAGTGGCATATTATGCTAGTGGCAGTGCTTGTTTTTTGCCAAAATTATGCTCAAATTATGCTCCCTTTTCAAAATTATGCTACTTTTTTAAAAAATTATTCTGTGCACAAACTTCACAACTCACAAGACAAGTTTGAAAATGTATTTTATTAACCCTGGCCAGACATTCTGGGCTCGGTTGTTCAAAACCTGGGTAACTTTATCCGGTGGTTGGGCCTATACGGCAAATAAATCTGCTGTTCAGCGGATAGTTATCCAGCGAACAAAAGTAGGTTGCACAAAGCCTGGATAGTGTGGTGGATAACTATCCGCGGATAGCTTGCTAGTTGCTAACCATCGCGTGTAGCAGAGCACGACACAGTTTGCCCAAGGTTTTGCACTCAAATGGCCTCCAGTTACCATGGTAAAGTATGCAAATTTCGAGTAAACAACGAACGGTGCGCGCGCTAGCAACAATAATAAGTTGAATAATAATTAGTATGCATTTATTTTATTGCAGTTTCTGACAAAGCCATGGATAACAAATTTAACATTGTAATGTGTTTCTGAAGGTGCTTCTTTCTAAGCTTCTCCAACAGTTAATTAGCGCTTAATTGAAGCATCTTTGGTAAGCAAGAAGATCTTGTCAAGAACTGCTGGGATGTCTGTAAGATGCCACTTCAATGCATGGCATTGGCATTAAGATGGCTAGGTACAACCACTCCACCTAATATAGATTGTTCAAGACCACATCAAACGTGCTAGTTACCAAGCAGCAATATTAATTCCAACCATAGATGCATCATTGAGGAAAGTCCAAATCCATAGATTGATTGTGGCAGTTGTGCATCCATTGAACGAACTGCACAATTGCATCTTTGAACGTGACGGTGTCATATTCATTTACTTCTGCAAAAATATATGGCTGTAAGAAGCATCCTTTTCTAATGCCTCTGAGCTTCGTAATTAATAGCAACTGAATTGCAAACGGATGGCATGTGGCGACATTTAATTCAATAGTGAAATACAAATCAAAGTAAGTAAACAAAAAAATCAAAGCAACACGATTTCACGTCGCTGAGGATTGAATTCGAATTGTATCTTTAACAATGTTCTCTATGCATCATTCGGAATTTGAACGTTGACTTGTAGCTGCTTAAATATTTTGAAACTTGCGTAATCTTCGGCTTACGAGGTTAATCCTGTTCCTTTGCTTTACTTGAAAAAGACCCAAGGTTTCAAACTCAAAATAGAATTGATGTTAACATTATGAGGTGTGGGAAAAACAACAACATCGGGAGACGAATTATCCATCAAAATTTTAACATTTGTGATTTCACGAAAACAAATATTCAAATAACGCAAAGGGCTTGTTATTTTCTAGTTCCTGATTGCACCGCTTTGAGCAAATATAATCAATAACGGTGAAAAATTTATAAATTGAAGTTCCAATGTATGGACTCGTAAATTAATGGAATATTGTTAATAATTCACCTACAAAGGCGCTTTATTCGATCATTCTTGCAAAATAAGAAACATATTGTATGGTTAGGTAGGCAAGCTTTTTCTCAGAAACGTTGTTAGGATTTTCCCCTTTCAAAACGGTCCAATTCGTAATTTTACAATCAAATGTTAAGCTTCCTGTGAAACAGCAAAACGCAAGATAAACGAAACAAAAGCCATTTACGTGATTCTTGAAAACAATGTTAAAAATTTTAATGATCCAGACTTACAAATTGAAAGATTTCCTATGGTGCGATCAAACTGAAAGCAATCCTCAAAGTACATCGCAAACAACGTCATCGTATTAATTAAGCTTCTTAATAATACACTCGATTATACATAAATTGTAAATCATAAAGCATGCACTTGATTGTGTGACAAACAAACACAAGTCAAACGTGCTCGGTCTGTACAATGACATCGGTCTTATCAAAATTTTTGATGACGTAGAATAATAGTAAAACGGAAAGTATTTAAAGTACGAAGTATGTGAAGTTCAAAACCCTCAGTTGCTGAGAAAGAACAAATCACGCTTGGTAAAGAGCAAATTGATAATAAGCACAAAGTGGTCCTCATTGGTCAGCTCATTAACTTTTCTCAAATTTCCCATCAGAAAGTTACTTTTCTGACTGTAGGACTAGTCTAGATACAAACATTTTTTTCGGATTTGGTTGGTTGATTTGGATCTACCATAACTGGAAATTTACGACTGGGGATTGCTCTTAAAAAATCTGTAACGTAAAGATGTGAGGCAGAAAGCAAAAAAAAGAAGGAAAGCTTTGTGTTGTATTTGCTATGGCCAACCTGACATGTACTCCTCATTCGACTCTGAAGATGACTACCGCTAGCAAAAATCATCAAAAATATCTTATTGAGGAGATTTAATTGAATGTTTTTACAAGTAAATTCTAAGTATGATTATCCTAACATATATGTCATATTTATAACAAGTCATCGTCCTTAATACGCCAGCAACACTGCATAATCAAGTGCAGTAAAAATAAAGTTAATTCAAAACAGCATAATAACCTTTGTGACTATTACATATAATCGAATCAAATCAACTGGCGAAAACATCACTATTTCTACAAAAAACTAGATAGCTACCTTTAAATTTGAACTTTACGACACAATAAGCCTAAAACGAAGCAGTGCGAGACAAGACTTTAAACACAACAGAGCATAAATGTAAAATTAAAAGTTATTTGTCACCAGGATGAAGTACCATCTTAATAAGCTCACTTAAAGATTAGCTTCAAATACCGTGAAGGCCATTGCAATTCTATAAACATGGCCTTTACAATTTATTCAATATATTGCAGAAAAAAACGACTTGTGTTATGTATTCACTTGTTCCTAGATGTACGTGTTAAGTAGAATTGGAAATAATTGTATTTTGTTGTTCACACAGGATCAACCCATTTTGCAGGAAACAGTCCAACTTTTCCATTAAGTCTACCTTTACACCAACCCTGTTCATCTTCACCAGATAACTGAGTGATAATATCACCGGCATAAAAAGACAGTTCATCTTCTTCAGACGCCACGTAATCATACTTTGCTTGTACAGGTACCCCATCGCTATCCTCATTTGACTGGTATTCATTGCCACCATTTACTTCTTTTTCAACACCATCCACTTCTGATTGATTGCTAAATAAAAAAACACGCGATACCTTTCTGTATTTTACATGATTTATACGATGAATCACCACAAATTAAGTTGAATAAAAAGTTTATAAAATAACATAAGCAATATGTGTGCTATGATGTGTCAATGACCGTGTTTGCATCAGGCCATCAAAACACGGAAATTGAAATTACTGTTGAGAGAATCTTGACATGCCTGAAAACAAAGAAGATTTTTGCCAAAATTGACTTGGAGGGCATTTCAGTACGTGTAAATGTGAGCTTAAATGTTGATTTGCTGATTTTTCCACACTTTCGAAATCAATAACCTAGCTTTAGTTCAACGTGTTTTTGACTTCTCTGTTTAATAGAATTTACAGCTTCGGTCGATTGGGAGATTTCAGCTTTTACGTCAATTTATGCCATAGATATATTAAACATGGATTGCCGACGTATATACAGGTTATACGTAGCCGTCATAGCTAATTGAACTTTCCAAGATGGCGGCCAAGCGGGCAAAAAACAATAATTTGTACAACAAAAATTAGGTTTTTCTCATTTTAAGACGTAGTACCCCTTCCATTCTAGTTCTACCCACTTTTTTGGAAATGGGAGGACATCGAACAGTTTTGGATGCATCAAAGGAATAACACGACAAATTTTTTATTGAGTTGTCACCTGAGTCCAATGATAGCAGTTTTGTTAAGTCTTGAGTCCAACGATAGCAGTTTTGTTAAGACATTTTTCGCATATGGAAATAACAAAAAATTAAAAATAATGATGTGTGCTGGTTGGATTTGTGATTTAATGGGTAACATAGACCAAAAAGGGCAAAAACAGCAGACCTTATTAGTCAAAACATTCGAGGGTGAGGAGTCGGCCTGCTGCTTCTACATAAAGAGATGTGCATGTCAAATCTACATTTTTTTGAACTACACAATGTATGTGCATAGTGAAGCAGGTTGACTTATCATTTATTTGCCAAAGTTAAGGCAAGCTTGGTCAACTGCAACATGTATTGACTCTTGAGGTTTGACACAATATACTAATCTCACAGAAGATGAATAATAATGAATGAGAATAAATGATCTGAAATCGGATAAAATGCTTTTCAATTGATTTGGCAAATGTTTACAAGACAAAGTGTCATGACTAAGTTTGTGTTTCATTACTTTTTCATTATTAATAAATTCAAACCACACTCATGTGGTACTGTGTGGTGTGTAATACTTCTAGTCACACGACCAAATACTACCATGATAATAAAAAATAAACTATAAAACTGTAAAATACTTCAATTTGTGTAAAATATTTATATTTTATTTGAAACATAAAACTTTTGTCGATTTTGCTTCAGTCGCTCAATGTAATATATAATAATAAGACATACTTAAAGAAGTGACTGGATCTATGAAACATTGTATATTTGTTCTTATGGTTTTATCCTTCATCATAAATCTCCTTTCAGAAGTTCACATTAAACCGAACTCGGTATTTCTTACATTGTAGTGCTCGAAGCGAAATTTGTCGTGTTATTCAATTGATGCATCCAAGTTCACAGCCAGAAACTCCGTAATGTCATGCCATTTCCAACAAAGTGACTAGAAATAGCATGGAAGGGGTAAGACGACGAAAACTGCGAAAAACATCTTTATCGTTGTACAAATGATAGTTCCTTTGCCCGCTTGAGCCGCCATCTTAGAATGTTCAATTTGGTAAGGCCACAATCTAGGTTATATTTATATCTATGATTTACGCTAATTTAAATAGACGCACTTCTGAAACATTTGACGAAAATGACACTGCTAAAATGCATCACTTGTACTTGAAGATCTTAAAGATACATTATAATTGGTACATGTCAGGCACTCGATGAGTGCACAAGGATTTGCTTTATTCTCAATGAAAATTACAAAAAACACTGAAGCATTCTCAATGTTTCTTGTTCAGTTATTCGTGCAAAATATTGATAATTTGTGCATCTCGAAAGGGAATGGCTCAGTTCCGTCACATGCTTGTCTTTCTGGCACTTTTACAGCACATGAACATGTTTTCAACTTTTCATTAAACAGAAAATCATGGCTTTATTCTTTTATTTATCAAAAATTCACTGATGAAATGTTTAGACGTCGTTGTAATTTACGCGAATAAGATCAAGTTTACGTTAGATAGATCGCAAATAACAATAAATGTAAAGGCGGAGAATACAACCCCGCGATTCCCGCGCACTAAACCCGCAGTCACGAATATTTGTGTCGGAACTCAGTGTTACATGTCATTTCTGTTATCTTACAGAACAAAAACGTACAGGATTTTTGCTACGCAAATCAATAAAACTAACATTTAAAACGGAAAAACGTAAAATCATACGCAATTTGGACTCCTAGTGTTTGCGTGCGCTTCGACCGAATTTCCATGAACTTCGTTAGCTTCAACTACACGTGTCATGTTTTAACCCTGCGTGTGTCGTTTTACCTATTTAGCCTTGTTATTTTCGAACGCAAGCTATTTTAAAATTGATTCTCGTTAACACAATTTTCACTCTAAAAATGGTTATTATTAGCGACTTTCGTGGACCATTCGAAACCTAACTATCTATTTCAAGGAACGTTTTTGCAGATCTTGCGCGCAGGTGACTCCAGTGTTTTCAAACTGTTCAGTTTTTTTTACACAACCTGTATATCACTATTACAAATAATCCACCTCACTTACTTCATGTCATTTTCAGGGACATTGTCTTCAAAATCATCATCATCATCATCATCATTATCGAATGGATTCGTGCTTACGACGACATTTGGTTCATCACGAGAAATGTTATCAGTGCTATGTCTGACACCACCATCCATTGTGGTTAAGGTTTGAGATTTGTAATTTGAACTTTTATCAGGATCGTAATCCTAAAAAAATAAAATCAGCACGTTAATGTTTAGGGCAAAGAGGTGATCACATAAAAAAACGCAAGATACAATGTATCTTTTGTAGTTATACTTGTGAATCTAAATATGAGGATTGACGAAACCCTATTGCTATTGTTCTTTTTCAACATTTTAGTAAGTGCATTATTTACTTAAATGTACGCGTATTCAGTTTAAGTTTTGAGATTTGATAAAAGTTAATTTACAACCTGTGACTAGAACAGAGTTTTTGTCATTGGAAAATTGAGTATAGTTCTTGTAAAAAATCTCTTTCCATTGATAAAGTATATTCACCCTTACTTTTTCTTATCGGAGTAGCCATGCCTCATTGAAAAAATATAATGTGTGGCTAGCATGATGGAAGTCGGGTCAGACGTACTTTTTATCAAAAACCCTTTAGTTTAGAAATTAATCCATTGTCAAATTTCAATGCTCGATCTCTAAGTTACAGACACTGATGCATTAATGTGCATGTTATGCTGTTAAAAGTTCTGGTACATTTGCAGGAGCAGAAAAGCTTTTGTGCTTGTTATTTGTAACAATGAAAAGCATTTTATGCACGTAGCTGACCACACTGTATTCACCCGTAAGCTTTGCATTCGAGGTATACTAGGCATTGGCCCCAATACGTCCATTCCTATAAATATATATACACTCAAACCTGTATTAAGCGGACACCCTCGGGTAATGGACTGGTGTCCGCTTAATGGAGGTGCCCGTTTAACAGAGGTTCTCGTTTAACGCACTTGCTTTAAGACAACTATCTTTATAGTTGTTGTGATAATGTGTTTGTGACTAACATTATGTCTGTAGATAACATGAAATATTTAAATTGTCCGCTAAACACAGATTTCATTCAGGACTTTACTAAGTGTCTGTTCAATACAGGGTGTCCTCTTTATGTAGAGCCATATAATACAGGTTTGACTTTATGTACAAAACCATGACCATAAATATAAATTATTTTAACACTTAACTTATACTAATATTTCACTTCCATGGTGAGCAATCCACACATTTATATACATTCTTATGTTATAATTTTAATGTTAAAGTATATAGCTACAGAGCAAAACCTTAAAAGATAATATAATCATAGGAAAACTAAAGGCAGAAAGCCAGTGCTCTACATCACATATTAAACAACTCAATGAACTCTCACAAGTGAACAGTCTCAGTTACAAAAGGGAAAAAGCTCAATTTTTATACCTACAACTACTCACCGACGATTGTTGGTCAAAGTGCGATGCATTAGTGCGTTGTGAATTAACTGAATGATGGTGATTATAGTCATTACTTGGAATGAATGTAGTGTTTGAATTCCAAGTATCACCGTAATAGTTGACAGCACTCGGAGACCTGTAGTGATCGCTGACCAAGAAATCACCGCCGGGGGTTTCATGAAATGATACATCAGTATTTTGATTATGGGATAAATTTTCGTTGCTTGAGGTTGACCATTCGTCGAATGGATTATGAGGCTCGCCTTCAGAGGCATGAAAGTCCACAGACTTTTCATTTTCGATTGGTCTTTTTTTGTGTTTTCGCTTACTAAGTCTTCGCCTTAAACTAAAGGTTCTCGCAAAAGTTCGTTTGGATACTTGACGTGAGGTAAGATTCCACACATCGGGTTCCTGAAGAGGATCATGGCATGCCGTTTATAAGAAAGAAAACATAAGCAGAAGCAAATAAGCTTAGTAAAAGCAGTCGAAACTGGTTGTAAAGAACTTCTGCTCGTGTTATCAAAAAAAGGCTGTAAGAAAGACACTGAATTAAGATGGTAAATACTCATGCATAAGATACACAGCTTTCGACTTTATGCCATGCCATGGAAAGTTAGCAAGGAAAAACTTCTATTTGGGCGTCAGCAACAGATCACTACATGTCTCCAAGCAATCGCAGTTCAACATTAGAAAATACATGCTAATGCAATGGTTAACATAGCTATGACGCTGAAGCGCAGGGGAGGACAGGGGGTGTGTGATTTAGTTAAAAATAATCTATTGTAAAATATATGGAAGAACCAACTATCGACATTGGTCTAGGTTAACTTGAAACATAACTACTGGGCCTAAAAACGGGGGTGGGGTTGTTGTATTTGGATATGAGCACCTGAAATCACTACGTAGCAAAGTGATACAACTGTAAACAATTGCTAGCTAGGAAACTATGTCTATGAATAGATAGAAATATCTGTTACTTTGGATTTACGTTAAAAAGTAGCAACATTGAAATGTACACAATGGAAAAGCTCTTAAGGTTCTTTTGTTTACGACGAACGTCGATCAGTGCTCTACCAGATAATACGCCGAATATCCGGCAATATTGTTTTTTCTTGACCGATATCCCAGGTAGACTCTCATTCAGTAGTAACCAGTATAAACTGAGAAGCATGAAGAGATCTAAGATGGATTATTTAGGGAGGGGGGGGGGTTATGATGCTCTAGGGTTGATTGAGTTTAAGTGGCTTCTAATTTCTATGGCATATCCATCAATGAGCATGTCAGGCCTTTTCATTATGATTGAAAGATCTTAAGAACTTTGTTCTTTTGTACACTAATCACAGTTGTCTTTATGATTTAAAAACAATAAAACAGGTGCGATTCGTCAACATCTGTGTTTGCATTAGGTGGGATACTTTATTTGCACAGGCTAATGCAAACCTCAGAAACGTTTGTGAGATTCCTTGAACAGGTGCAAACCTTGACTGTATCTATCTGCTCTTGAGTATTTCTAAAGGTCCAGTTTGCATAAACCTGCCTGTGCAAACACAGCAAACATCTTTAATTTCTTTGAATTGCAAACATCTCTGGTATATTAATAATTTGCATGAAAATTAACAACTTTCCTATAAACCTTCATAATATTTATAAATAGAAAGACTCAAGAGCAGATCAACGCAAGCTCATATCCTTGACTAGTAGGAATCTGTAAATCTCTGCACACCTCCCGCAAACTGTAACAAACACTTTTATTTCATTATGTTGTTTTCATAAAAAAAACACATGTAAAAAAATTAGATCTACACCACGTTTATCAAGTTATAGCTATATATATGTAGCTAATAAGGATAATAAGATCACAAACCTCAAATTCAGGCCATTTCTGTGGCATTAGTGGTCCGTACTGGGTAGACCACCATGTTAAGTCTTTCACAGCATCTGAGCCTTGAATCTTGCTTAGAAAAACCTTGTATATATTGTTCAGCCTAAAATCAAAAAGTATTCTTGATATTAAATGTTAAACATTATTACAAAGCATCATCATTTATATTGTAAAATGGCATTTGAAATATAATTATAAATTATAATAAATTGCCTTTCTACACATTTCTTGTTTATAACTAATATTTATTCAAAGATTATGATACCTCCTTGGTATCCTTAACATTATAAAGGGTTGAAAAAACTGAACACTTTAATGATAGGTATAATGCAGTGGCAGCAGAGGGATTCCACCTACATATTTCCTACCACATTAATACAAGCAATGGCATGGCAAACTCAATTGTGTGCGGATGCACATATTTTTTTATTTGAAAATTGTCATACACTGATGAAGATATGCATGTATGAAGTTGCACCTTCAAAACCAGGGCAACAAGGCCACTAAAACACTAAAGTAATTGTTCAGAATAAAAATACTAAATAAAATGACCTACAAATTAGGCTTTAATCTACAAAAATCGAAAAGTAATTCGCAAATGATGTCATCATGTTTTATAACATTGGGTGCAACTTTACCACAGGCACTTTATAAAGAGCATGCCTACTTGATGTATAGTTATTACAACATCTAGCAAGTTTATACAGCACAACTGAGACAAATGTGTTACTTTGACATATAAGAACCATTATTAGACAGTTTGCTTCCCTTCTTTAATTTACATACAAAGGATATCTGTAGGTACATTAAAAACTATAAAACCGGTAACCAAATTCATATGTACATAATGATAAAAATCAATATTCTTCTACATTACTAAATTAAAGTTAGCAACAAATTAAGAATTGCTACATAACAGAGCACACATTGATTGTAGGTCAATGAAGTAAGTTAAAATCTTGCAAATGCTTCTAATAAATGGTAAGAAACAATAATATCAGAATTTGTGGTTAGCTCAATGACGAAAACTAGTAATATGCTGTTTATCAAAAATTAGTGAATTTAGACAAAGAACTATTACTTAATTGAATTGAACTGTGCTTAAAATAAATTGGAAATCTCTACAATAGCTAGCATCATATACATCTAAGGTTTGACCTTTGACTAAATTAGACTGGACATTTTCATGTATATAAATCATGACCATAAAAGAAAATAGTTTATAAACAAGTTCTTCCACTCTATAGTACTGTAACTATTTATGATACAAGTGAAAAGATAACATGTATGTATTATCTATGCAAGAAAAGCAGTGGAGTAATGGAAAAGAAGAGTTATCACACTAAAGCTTAGTTTAGGATGGCACTTACACTAGTAAATATACAAATCTTTGTAAATTTATTTGTTAAAGGTAGCACACCAACACAAAGTGCTAATTCATTTTAAAAATTTATACAAGCAAGAATATTCCTGGCCTGTTGGTCACAAGCTGTCAGGTCATAATGCTGACATAGATTGTTCTCAATTCAGTAAAATACAACACAATTATTAAAGGCCATAAATAGTTCAATTCTGTGCCAATCCTAAAGAACGAAATCTCCGCTCTTAAATACCAACTCAAATAAACGTACGCGAGCTCCCCAATTCGTATTCACAATATTTAACCGTAAATAAAACTATTTCAATGATGTCGAAATTTAAGGCATAATTAGTGTCGTAAAAAGCCTTGCATTAGAATATACAATTTACAAGTCATTAAAGTTCTATATTGTTCTAGAACACGCAAATATACACAGGTTGATCTTTCACATAAGATTACGAAATAATTCTCAAACAAGTGACAAATATAGCCTTTGTAAAACTGTTTATAAAATTGTCCAGAATTGTAAAGGAACAAAGTAAGTTCATAACAGTTTGTTTAAATGTAGTATAAGTCCACATTCTTTAAATTATTACCAATCATTTGGAATAGGAAATAAGTCGACTCTAAACAACTATAAACACGCGCTGGAGAAAGTTTACCGAAAAATTCTGAAATATAAAAATAAGTCAAAACAAAATATGTACAGCCGTTGTACTGTTGTACGTGACACTTATAAAAGGGAATGGGGATGGATTTGAAACGAATGAGCAGTAAAAAATGAAACAATACATAAAATTAGTTACAAATTGTCCAGTCATGGCAATTTAGACTGCAGAGTAATCTAATGATCTTAGAGCTTCTTGAACAAATAAAAGTGTTACATACCTGTCATTTTCAGATATATCCAGGACTTTGTGATAGCGAAGCATGGTTTCCTTGATGAAATTTAAACGAATCTTTTCAAATCTATCCCACTTCGTAAATTCCCCTTCTAGTTCGTTCGCGTAAGATTCATTGGAGGTGTTCATTTCGAAGAGACGTTTTTCGTACTTCTTTCTCGTTTCCTGGAGGTCAGATTTAAGCTTTGAACTTTGATCTTGAAGTTTTTTAAGTTTTTCAGGCGGACTGTTGTCTTTCTCGGCATTACTCACAAGCAACGATGCGTTTTCTGATGCCTTCGCAGCGCGATGAAAATTCTTCTTCGATTTATCCATTTTATTATAACGTCTTGACCAGGGATCATATATCTTATTGAAACAATGCTCACAGTCCTTAACCTCTTTCCATTTAAGAACAGATTTGTGATAATGCATGCCTTTCCACTGCTTTATCGATTCACACAATTCTCCTTTCAAGCGATTGTGTCGTTCATCGTGCATTTCTGCTATCTCCTCTGCCTCACGAAGAGTAGCTTTAAAAACTTCCAAAGTACTGCCATACTCTGAAACTTTCCCTGCAATCTTTTCGTTCCATCGCTTAGCCCATTCACGAAGCTTCAGTGTGTATTTCATTTCAATTTCAGCTCGCTCAAGGAGCATTTTCATAAATTCATCGCACAGAGTAGCGCCGTCTTCGAGTCTCTTAACCGTATTCTTAAAGCCGTCGATTCCCCAGAAATTTGTGTTTGTATACGATTCTTCCATAGTCGATGCACGATTTGTCCCTTTTATTGACATTTTGAAGATTAATAATAAACAATATTCAAGGGGTAAGCTTTACAGTTTAGGTACAAAGCAATAACACACAGTTTTGAAGGACAGAGGATTATTGTACATAACGTTCTGGTTCAAGTTTATCATAAATCACTCAAAATATTAACATCGTCCAGCCCGACATCCGGTGACATCACTGTGCATTTTGAAAATACTTCGTGTAACTAAAATAAAAATGACCTGAAAATTGAAAATTGAAAACGTTCTGTCGGGCGCTAATGTAATTTATAATTACATCATGATCAAAGTATTTTCACCAAACTTGACATTGAAAAACGAAATGCAAATGTTTGAGTTGGGTTTCTTCTTTTCCGTTAAATCATGTATCACAAATTTTTTTTGTTTACATATTAAATTTCTAATTGCAACAGTTACCATCTGGTAATAAATCAAACATTTTGACTCTGAAGATGACTACCGCTAAGGTTGTCGAAACGTCAGTCTACAACAACAAAAACAGTCCTTCTCAGGACTTTATTAACCTGGACGATCATCAATTACAAACAAATAAATCGAACATTGCTAAAGTTATTCACAAACCTACATAAAAAGTAATTACATAGACCACCACCTTTCATCTTGTTTTTAAATGATTTTTGTTACAATTAACCAAACTATGCTATTTACTAGAGCAAGGAAGAGAAAAAGAAGGTTTTTCAAACCTTCCTACCATTGAAATGCTGCATGAAAAAATGCAAAGAAAGCTGAATTGAAAAAAAGGAATTGAGCGTAGACAACAAGAACTGTAATTAAACTGAAAGAAATTTAATTTGGAGTCTGATCAAAGAAGGGAAATATTCAAACTTGAGAAGGAAGAGAGAAAGACATTTTTAGAAATTCACAAAAAGCACATTAGGCTTGTTATAATTAAGTTTCCTTGTACATTAATAGTTTTTTCAATGTAATGATAATCTCATGCATATGATGATGCAGCATTAAGCTGAGTCCGTCTTGTAGTTATGTTCTTGAGCAAATAATAAAAAAACAAAAATGTTTATATTTTAGATAGATAATCCTCGTATCTTGGTGGACTATGAGATTGAAATAGATACTGGAAACAGAGCCATATACAAACATGTATGAAAGTTTCTTAAAATACTAGCAACCAAGTAGTATTTTCTAACAAGTTGCAGCAACACTTTCATGTTCTTCTTAAAAGCCGAAGCCAAACCCCCATTCCGCACTAATGCAAACTTTATTCATTTTTTTGCTAAACAGCTGTTGTTAAGCAGTCATTTGTACACCACAAACTGTGAGTGTCTGTCTACTAAAGAAAAAATCATAAAGAAATAACATGAAGAATTTACAAACTTAAGCGTTACTTGTACACCGATTTTACCTGAAATTTTAAACAATAAAAACTCTTATGCCCGCTGTACATAATTCATGGGTTCTTTGTTAGTCTGGCAATTGCTCGTTAAGTTCCATCAACAAATCCCTAGCAAGCACTTGTCTAAAGGTGCACCTCTTGCATGTTTTGCCCTTGAAAAAGCCTCTGGATCAAGCCATGTAAGTACGAAGGTTGTAAGCAAATTGCTGTGTTTCCTATAAATGTCTTCCAGAATCTATGTGATAAAAGAAAAAAGAAATCAGCAGAATTTTTCAACATATTGCACTCAAATAAAGACTTTGCTTCTAAAAAGATAACACCTAGTTCCTCCTCCACTTGGCCAAAACAAGTGCACCAAAACACACCACCGATTTGGGTAGGGTAGCCTCCTTAATAGAATCATCAAAGCTTCCATTCCTGTGGCACTTGTTCCTTGACTGCAAGTGTATTTCTGTGGTAAGTTTAATGCTGAGGATAAACATACACATAACATGTCATTTTTTTAAACAGTCATCAATGCTGAACTAACATTCACAATTAGTTTTTTTTTTTGTCACAAAGAGGCCGAAGTGGTCTATGGTGTTCAGGTAGGCAAATTATTGCATCCGATAGAAGAAATTTAAATGTGACACGCACACCAGAAGTTAAATGTTTGATGGCCAATATATTCTTCCATTTAAAGATGGATTTCAAAATAGCAAATACCATGGTGAATGGTGATAATAACAATGTAATAGTTCTTAAAAGAACTTTTTTGACCAGAACACTAACCCAACAACTCAAAGGAACCGTTATTTACAGCTAGAAAGAGACACTATTCATTTTGGCAGACTACTCGTCAGGTGTCAACGTCTGCTAAATGAGAACCGTGGTACTTTCGCCCGTTTTGGAGAGGTTTTCAACATACGCTTTAAAAGACTCTTTTACTTTTACTGATGACCCTAAACAACAAAATTTTTCAATGTATTCGAATCCAACGATGTGTTCTTTCGATGTAACTAGTCTCTTCACTAATGTGCTCTTAGAAGAAAACATTCAAATTTGTGCTCAAAATCTTTTTCACTCGGACATGACGTTGCCGGACATGTCTGAGAATGCCTTTAGACAATTAATGATGGCTGCCACAAAGGGTGTGGAGTTTAGTTTTGAAGACACCATGTATAAACAAATTGACGGGGTGGCTATGGGTTCTCCACTTGGACCGGTTCTTACGAATATTTTTGTTGGCTATCACGAATGCAAAATGCTTGCATCTTCAGATTGTCCGGATGTGCTGTGGTATAAGCGTTATGTGGATGACACCTTTTCTTTGTTTCATAACGATAAAAATCGTGAACTTTTCATAATAAACATTGCTCTCTTCACCCTGCACTAAATTACACCTCTGAACTAGAGTCAAACAATAAATTAGCTTTTTTAGATGCTCTTGTACACAAACGCAATGGTCAGTTCTTAACAAGCATTCATCGCAAAGCAACTTTCACTGGTTTGTACACACGCTTTGACTCTTTCTTTTAGCATAGAGAAAAGATTTCTTTAGTGAAGTGTTTGATAAAGCGAACGCATAGATTGTCCTCAAAAGAGTTGATTGATAGTGATCTTATCTCACTGAAGAATATTTTTGTGTTAAATGGATATCCGGAAAAGTTGCTAGACAAACTTTTCTTATCCACTAACAATGAACGGAATAAGTTTTTCGGACCGGCCAAGTGCCCTGTTTTCCTTAAACTTCCCTGGATGTGTAAGGCATCTAATGACATCGAGAAGGAAACTAAAAATATCACCGAGAGTTTGTTTTTGGCATGCAATGTGGTCTTTATATTCTCAAAAAGAACTATTCTTCCACCCACTACCAAAGAGTCTCTCCCTGCTCAAATATCATCAATGTAGTCTACGAGTTTAAATGTGAGTGTGATGCCCGCTATGTAGGTGGGACTTCTCAAAGGTTGAGTGAAAGAATAAAACAGCAGGTACCAGCTTCTGTCAGGAATAAAACTGTTCGTTTACGACAACTACCAAAACGTGGGTGTAAAAGTGAAAATCCGATTCTATTTGATTCAGCGATTTGAAAACATCTTTTAAGCAACACTCGCTGTGCCAATGCTTATTCTGATGAAAACTTTAAAATTATTAAAAAATGTCGCTCGTCATTCCAGCTACGCATCATGGAGTCGGTATTAATTAAATTGACTAATCCTGTCCTTTGCCGACAAAAGGATTACGTGTTTAATCTGTCTCTGTATTAAGTGTCATTTCTAAAAATAGGGATAACATTGACCTTTTGTAACGTTATAAATATAGCATGATTTGGAGGTTCTCATTTAGCAGACGTTGACACCTGACGAGTAGTCTGGCGAAATGCATAGTGTCTCTTTCTAGCTGTAAATAACGGTTCCTTTGAATTGTTGGGTTAGTTTTCTGGTTAAAACAGTTCTTTTAAGAACTATTACATTGTTATTATCACCATTCACCATTGTATTTGCTATTTTGAAATCCATCTTTAACTTTGTCACCACGACAAAGTCTCTGTTTCATTCTTCCATTTGAGCCCATAAACCTGATTTACGACAGGTATTAGCGGACTCACCATCTATAGTCAGACCGGTATAATCAGCCTTAATATTTGCATCATGGAGTCCAAGATATATTGATAAAGAAACTACAGCATCTAACAAACCTTCTGCACCACGTTTTCTGAATTGCTTAACACACACCAAACGTGTTTGGATGGAAAGATGGATAGTGTAGCTGATAAAACGAACGAAGACAAATTTTTCGTCCTGTTGTTTGGCATCAACAGACCCGTTGACCTGAACCGCAAATCGACAGTAAGTTAGGAGTTCCCCTTCCAACTTTTCTCGTTTGAGGTCGCCTTCAATGTGAAGCATTTCAGCGTAGTGATTAAGATTACGGTAGTGCAAGTGAATAACTTGAGGTTGAAAACAAGAAAATCCTATTCCACCTTCAGAAGTATTACTGCATGATCTAAATTTTTTTTCTCCATGAAATTGGGCTTATGATCGTGATGGCAAAGATCAGGCTGTAGGTGTGAGCAGTTTGCTGACATTTTAGACATCAACAGCCATGTGTGTTAGTGTCGCAATGATATTGGAATCATAACTATTCAATGTTCGTAACCAAGGAGGAGACGAATCTTTTTCGGTCCATTGGGTTGAAACCGTTTTCATCTTTACTACGGTAGGCGCGAGGAGCGCCATGCAAACGTTACTTTAAAAATAGATTTTTACCACATTTTTGGAAGATCTTTTTGCTTAAGACAATAGAAAATTGTGTTGTAATACAATTAATTTGTACATGAGAAGTAAAAAATAAAATAAAAATTACGAGGATATCAGCATAATTTTAATTCAACGTCATAACTAAACAGCATAATATCTCAAAACACAAATTTCCTGCTAGATCAAAATGTTTAGTAAGAGAGTATTTAGCTCAGGACAAGCTCAGTCACAAATTCTTTAATAAAACACCGCTTAAATAATTGTTAGTAGTTTAACTCGACTAGTATTCTTAATTTCCTTTGAATTGGAAGTACTTTGTAAACACTGACTGCAATAAAAGTATGGATGTCACTAATCTACGAGGAAACAATGCGAAAAAAATTATCTACCATCATACATTGCCCTTTCCAGTTTCTTAAAATGCGATCGCGACTCAATGGTGTATTCGCAAAAGTAAACTGTGTGCCCGAATAAAAATCACCACACAAACTCATAGAAAAAAACGCAAAAAAATTTATGACACAAAATGCGATATATTTCTAAGTAAATCTTTGATTAATAAATGAGTATAAACTGGGTAAAAAGTCAAAGTACTTTTCATTGTTTTTTAAAAATATAGTAATATGCACCTGCGTCGCCCGCATATCTTGGCTCAAAATATTTCAAAATAAGCTTCCACTTTCTTTGTTTTGTTAATTCCTCTAATTTTTCATGAAAGTCATAGCCAGGATCATCCAAAATCTTCTCATTAATAGTAAAGAGTATCATGCCTCCTTGTTTCACCACATGAATAAAATCATCCATTCCTTTTCCTTTCACATGACCAGGTGCAAAAACACCAACGCATATTACTGCATCGTATTGACCAGCGGTTACTCCCAGTTCAACTGATCCATCTGATCCCATGGTTCCCTTTTTTAGTGATCTGTAGGAAAATATCTTTACGGAAATATAAAAAATCTTTACGGAAATATAAAACATTAATAAGGGAAATGAAATAAAAATGCTTAAATAATTAATGCAAGAATATATTGAACATAAAAAACTCATTGATATATGCTCTGTGCATGTGCTCATTAATATTTTAAAACGTTGACATTAAAATAAAGGATCGATTCAAATGTTGGCTATTTTGTTGATCGTAGGATCGTAAAAAAAAGACACAGTACTTTTATGAAAACCGTTTACCAAAGAAATTACTGATTTAGAACCATTTTTTGTTTGAAATGAAAAGCATTTAAATTTTATTGAACATTTTTACAATAACACACAGCAATTGATAATTACTAAAAAAATTTTACCATTGTACAGAAAATTTTAAAATGCTGTATGTTATTCATGTACTTTAAATAAAATTTTAACCTGTAAACTCCTTTTGTCTCAGAAAGCTTCAACATTTCTTCACTAATGTCAATACCGTCTACATTTTTATATCCCAGCTTGTAAAGATGTTCACCAACGAGTCCTGTGCCACAACCAAGGTCCAGAATTTCAATGTCCTGATTGTAGTTATGTTTAATCAGTGTCTCGTGAAGCTGTTCTGCTGCAACTACTGGTGCTTGATAACTATTACCATCAATTGAAACCTAAAATTACATTTTGTATATTAAAAGTTATGTTGAAACGCTCAAATAGTTGCCCATTTTTAGCTTTTCAATTTAAAAGATCTCTTAGTGCTATTATATAATTTCAAATTTAAAAAACGATTTCTTGTATTGAGCGGTAGTTTTAACTTCTTTGCAATAAGTTGCTTACTACATAAATCTTAACATTAATCATATTACAGCTTCAACTATGCTTTGTTGTAAAAGATTGATCTTTATATACATCTATTAAAGATCCTTTACCAAATTCTAAGGAGCTTTAATAATTTAGGGAGGAGTAATTCTTTTTAAAGTCTAAGTTCTTTTCTTCTTGAACATCTGCTGCAAAAGCAAGATTGCTAAAGTCTGGCAAAAATTAGCAACGATTTATGCTGCTGTTTATTCTAAAAATAGGTACGAAATAAATACTTGTGCCTGGCCTCTCAAGTACATGGTCATCAAATAAAATAGATAAATAAAGATATTTTAAAGAGCATTAAACATTTAATAAATTTCCATTAAAATTGTCAACATAAGGAAAATGTGCTTTGTTCTCTCTAATCAATCAAAAAAACAATATCATTTTTTACATAGTTTCTCCATAATGCATTTCTTTCGACTATTTACGTTGAGGCAGGTAAAGTCTTCTCAATGTCTTATAATTTTATAGATTAATTTATCTTGCGCATTTTTCATGTAAACCTTTTTTTGTTATATATCGCTAATAACTTTTCTTTTAAACAGTTTTCAGTACGTTTATGTATTGGATATCTTCTACTCGATCAATGATTTCACGCCCGTATTCTTAAAAAGTACAACGATTGATTTTTCAATTCATAGTAATATTAATAAAAAAAAATAATCATAATAATGTTATGTTCGTCTTTAAAATCATCAACTTGTTCATATAAATTTAACAAATGTAAAAAAACTTAGTCTTAGTTCAATACCTAAAACTTAGAGACTAATTGTTTAATGAACAATTTGGGTTGTCTCAAGTATTGCAAATGTTTGCATGTCGCCCAATCCACCTGGAATAGCCTATTTGAGTGACCCCTCTAACATTAGACCACCAGAAGTACCGCCTTTGTTGATAAACCATGCATTCTTCTTAGTTCATTTGCACGAGAAGAATAATACATATTTTTTATCCTCTGTCCCTCTTACATTCTTATCCCACGTAGAAATGTAAAAGTAGAAATGAAAAAGGTTAACCTTCTACGTGTTTCATCCAATACAGTAACATTTGGACGATTATGTTCCATTTTGTGTGTTGTCTTGACACACCTTTGATATTCTCACCTCATCTGTAAATCTTTGTATTATACATCTGTGTACATTAATCGATACTTTCTACACATTTTCCTATAAAATCTTAAACTGATCCTATCAGTCTATGTTCTATATGCTCTCTGGGCCAAACCAGTACAACTACTCGCCAAATTTTTAGCAGACTCCACTTCCAAACCACACCCACTACCTTGAGTAATGACATTTTTCTTCTTAACAGTTTCTCTAAAAGCCTTTTTCTTAATGCCTGCACCTGAGCTGTAAACAAAATCTCACAGCTCTCTTTGCTAAATAACCTACTCTAAACGATTGCCAAGTCCTTTTGTCACCAACTTTAGAAACAAACTTCACATATTTGCCATGCAATCATTTTTCTAAAAAACTGTTTTTTCTAAGTTTTTCCTCGTGCTTCTTCAATACACTTTTCGTCTCTATGTACCATAGGCAATGAAGAATCCACTGGAGAAATCTATCTTCTAAATTTCAACATCACCTAAATGTTCTCAATATAGTGTCAATATCCTTCTTTTTTAAATTTTTAAAACCGTTAAACTCTTCCTTACTTCAAGCAACTATGGGAAACTATTTTAGAGCCTAAAAATCTCAAGCAAAACAACATAACAGTGGTCCCCATACCAAATTTTTTAAGAGAAAAAATAGTCCTTCTCTGCTGCCAGTAGTTTGAAATTCAGTGAAAGGCCACCCAATCTTAAAAAGTAATTCGAAAATAGTTAACTTAGACAATAGATGTACCACAATCAACATATTAACCTAAAGTGAACGATCACATCCTGGTAGTAGAAAATGTGGCCAGAACAACTGCCCCAACAGGCTATTGATAATGCATTTTTTAAGGTTGTGCTCTAATGCCAATGCCAAACATTTATAGATGTGCAATAAGATATAGATTCGCAAACCGTCTAAAAACATCGTAACAAGTCTTGCCAAAGAACTAAACGATATTCTGACGATGGCAATACATCAGGTACAAAAAGCGAAGACAAAGAGGAAAGAGTATATAGCAACAAGGATTGCGATTTATAAGCAGAATCAACAATTGCCAGTCTAATTATGAGAATTTATTTAGTTTAAAAAATCGTAAAAGCTTACGCTCCAGATGGTTTGTAAAGTAAGCTTTACAAATTGAATGATACATGCTCAAAACTGTTTAAAAGCATTTAGTTGAGGGCAAAATTTTTTTTAACTAGGCGACAAAGCGAAATGTGGATTTTTTGAATAGGTTTTGTTTCAACATTTTGTTATTTTTGCGGTTAAAAACTTCAAAAACCAAGCGCCTCTATAATTTTTAAAACAAGCTATATTTTTGAGAAAATTTTAGAGTTTCCAGGAGAAATCGCAAGCTAGAGCAATCTGATTGGCACTTTTTTTCAAAAACGTACACAAACCGCTGATTGGTTCGAAACAAAATTCCAACTTGTTCTACGCTGTATGCTTTATGTTTCATGAGCTTCTTTTTCCACTTTTTTTTCAATCTCTTCCATTCTATAATTGTTAGCAAACCGTTCTCAGTGCTAGTGAATTGGGGCAATAGACCTGTTATTAACCTCTCGTTTAAATACTTTTCATCCGTCCTTTCATCTTTTTTTTAAACCTCCTGTCATTCTTACACGAGTTCTATCATTGCATTCCCACAATGACATACTTTTGTCTTTTGTCCTCTAAAAAGTATTCTTACCTCACCCCTGTACCTTACTTACACTAAATTCTCTTTCATACACCCAACTTCTCATTTTTGGGTTTTATGCCTAATAGTTGTTAAAAGAACTCTTTTGATCCGTGAACTATATCCAGATAATACAACGTACTAATCTCATGTAAATAGTGGATCATTGCAGGCTCAAGTGATTGAATAAAAAGAATACAATTATTTGGCATGGAACACATGCTATAGATTGATTGAATATGTGTATTACGCTTTTATGCTATGCTTATATAAACGTTAGTTATTGGTCTTGAATAATCTGAGTTTTTTTAACCTCAAATTTTTCTGTTTTTAGATCCCAGTCTATTTTTATCACTATTATTTCTTGCAATGCAACAGTCTTTACAAGTTGTTCAAATCTGAAATAACCTTTTCATTCACTACCTAATCCCTTGGTCTCACTGGCACCACTTGGACGAGTACATATCAGAATAATAGTATTGTATACTTAAAATTGCAAATTTCTTTAAGACGAAACCAATTTACAATTGTCTACTCGGGATCGCAATTTAACAAAACAAGATATATGTAAAAAACTAAATAAAAAAAAACACACAATTTTTCTATTAGTTTGTGTCACTTGAATAATACCAGACTCACGAAAAAAGCCCCTCACTATGGGTCCTTGCATTTACTGCATAAATTATTATGCGCTTATATTCATTGTCATTATGATTTATTGCGCAGCACTAGTTTGATTTCTTTAAAATTTCAAAGACAAACCACAATTAAGAAAACCTAATTTCAAAATGATAAAACGATATTAACTTTCATTACGTAGTTACTTAATTGGTAATCTTAACGGAAACTTCGCTAGATTTCAATTTAATTAAGCATGACGACCTGCGATATTTTACTAAGAAAGCGACGAAGGGCGTCAAAATACACCCTAAACGATATCATTCGTCCACTTGGTATGTCCGTCTATCTCCGAAGATACAGAATAACAGGCTTGGACACTTTTCTGTGTATGGACAACAAGAGATCCTGCAAGGCCAAATGATCTTCTAGTATATATATGTTAAACTATGCTTTGCTCACAAAAATTTAAAGGATAGGCGATAAAGTTTGAAATTTGATGAAATCAATTTGCATTATGAAAATGATTTTGAACAAGTTAAGTTAACGAAACATGCTCAGTGCATGCTTTGTCAAAAGGCTATTCTTTCTTAAACTAAAATCAAATAAAATAACATTGAAAATTTTCAATTTTAAAATGCTTACATCGTTTCTAAAGTGGCCGAAAGAGTGGAGCGGCCGTAGATGCATCAGCGCCCCTATTCCTTCGGCCAAAAGGCATGAATATCAAAGAAGGCATCTTAAAGAATA